TAGGGCATTCCCCAGCCCCTTTTGCATTTTTTCTTTCTCATGTTTATATCATTATTTATAAATTTTTGGTTGATGAAAATTTAAAATAGCGGTGCTGTATCGTTCAGAAATATACGAGAATGGGGTCAGAAAGCGAAAATCTCTTTATGGGAGGGGGTGAAAGCATATTACGGTAAATTTTAAGCAAGCATTAATTTATTGAGGGAAGCGTAAATGCGTAGGGGATAAAAAGCGCGGGGGAATAGGGGACATTCAGATCCAATAAGGGGGGGTGGAAATAAGTCCAGTTCCTTGGTTCAAGGCCCTTTTACCGCAGAAAGGCCCCCCCCCCCCCCTCGGGGGAGAGAATTTTAAATTTTGTTTACGTTTTTGATGTTGCGGGTTTTGCCCTTTGCTGTGTTAAGGAAAAACCCGGGTGTGTCCTTTTGGACTGTCGTTTCATTCATTCTTTAGGGGTTTCCCCCGGTATTCCGGCCCGGGTTTCTCTGTGTCTTGTTATGAATGTTTTTTCCGATTGTTTAAATAATAAATTTGTTATAAAAGAATTTCAACACAGTTAAAACTAAAGCTCCTTTTCATATTTACTGTCTAGTCACCCACTTTTCCTTTATTTTTTGTCAATGAGAGAACGGGTAGTATTTAAGTTTGTTTCAAGGAAGGAAAGGGGGAAAGCCTTTATAGTAATTATTATTTTTATTATGATTTGATATTCCCCCTAAGACCATACGGGCCAGGGGGGAAAGGAGGTAATCAGGATTGTTTCCCGGGGAAATGCAGCTCTGATTCCTTTCATCAAAAACCCCCAAAAGACAAGGTACCCCCAATAAAAAGGGGGGAGGTACCGAGGTTTTATAACAATAACAGTATTTGAAAAAAAAAAATGAAAAAGAACCTCACCAGCTTTTAAATAAAAGTACGGAAAGATAAGGAATACTCGCAGCTTCCCAAAAATAGTATTAATAAAACCAAGAAAAACCCCCCGCTTCTCAATAAAAATAACAAAACACGAGAACTCTTAGCTTCTCAATAATATAATAATAAACTCAAAAACATTTTTCGGTCTCAATAAAAACGTTAACAAAAAACATTAAACTCCCAGCTTAATAAAAACCTAAAAACAAGGTCAAAAACTTTCAATAAAAAGCGTTTAAACAATAAAAACACTCACCCGCTTTCGAGCTTGAAGATGTTTTCTTGGGGTGGCTGTGGTCGAAGATGTCTGTGGTGAGGGGTGAGGGTGGTGTAAAATGATGAAGGCGAACACCGGATCTGTCGTGAGAGTGCTGCCCTTCCCCCTCCCCCCGCTGCTGTCCCCCAGGTGCTCACCCAACCTTCAGGTGTAGCGCCCCCACTCAGAAGTGAAGCATCTTTTCTTTGTTGTGGTGGAGGGAGATGAAGCTTAGGAGAGCCACTTTTTTATTTCGTAATGTCTCACTAAACCCTAACGTCTGCATGCACGGACTGCCCTGATGTAAGCGCTTAATACCAGAGATCTGGAATTATTATCCACAGAAGGGCTAAGCTGCATGGCTTATACGCCTGGGGAATGAAAGGTAATCAGGTCTGATTCACGGAAAATACCCGCTCGAATTTCCTGGATCTAAAGCCCTTCATCGGCATCAAAGCACTTCCTTGAAGGGATTAACTTAGAATGAGGACATTTTTGTGTGAACATGCAGAAAAAAAAATTACGATAGCTTTTTTTTTTATATTGCTGGTACACAATACCTACATGTAGAATGGGATACACGTGAGAAACAATTAGGTATCTTTATTGTCGACAATAAACTTACAATGTTGCACGCCTTACTTATATGGAAACTATTTTGACGAGAGCATCTGCTTGATAATGCTATTAAATTATGGTTCCTCTCCGGATAGATGAAATTAAAACAGAAGGCTCTCTACCCCCTTCCAGCCAGCGGTTGTCAGAGTGGAGTTTACCTGGAGAGAGTTCCGGGGGTCAACGCCCCCGCGGCCCGGTCTGTGACCAGGCCTCCTGGTGGATCAGAGCCTGATCAACCAGGCTGTTGCTGCTGGCTGCACGCAAACCAACGTACGAGCCACAGCCGGCTGATCAGGAACTGACTTTAGGTGCTTGTCAAGCTGGCACTGGACAAGTACCTAAAGTCAGTTCCTGATCAGCCGGGCTGTGGCTCGTACGTTGGTTTGCGTGCAGCCAGCAGCAACAGCCTGGTTGATCAGGCTCTGATCCACCAGGAGGCCTGGTCACAGACCGGGCCGCGGGGGCGTTGACCCCCGGAACTCTCTCCAGGTAAACTCCACTCTGACAACCGCTGGCTGGAAAAAAACTGAATAAAGGCATACCATGAATTATTAATACATTCGTGGGGAACACTAACCCCGCAGCTCCTAGGGGAACTGGAGGAATTCAGGTACAGTCCAGTGAAGGGAAGGGAAAGTTCAATTCCTTTGATCAAGAGCCCTCCCCAGCATCACTGATGAAGTTATTATAATCAAAACTAAGCGCTAAACTCACGAAGGTCATACAGATCACAGAGGAAGTATTATTATTATTATAATCAAAAAAGAAGCGCTAAGCCACAAGGGCTATACAGCCACAGAGGAAGTAATTAAAATATTTAACGAGACACGCTAAACCAATAGAGGTCATAGCGCCTATTGGAGTGGGGGTAATCAGATTCAATCCAAGGAAAATGAGCGTAATTCGAATTCTTTGGATCAAGACATCCTTGAAGGGCAGAGGAAGTAAAAGGTAGCTCCGATTCCCTAGATCAGGAGGCATTCACTGGTGTACAAACACTTTCCTTGCAAAGAATAGGAGTCACAACTGATACATTAGATTAGTTGCAAGTAGTCATGGTCTGCATCCTGAAAGGGAGGTAATATTATCATTATGTACATGGGAAGCGCCTAACTCGTATGGGTTATATAGTGCCTGAGGAATGGGATGCAATAGGGTCAATCCAAAAAGAAGGAAACACAGTATAATTACCTGGATCAAGAGCGAAAATGCCCCATGTTATCAAATATACAGTAATCAGCAAGAAAAAATTTATAGGAAAGTTCGGTCATCCTGGTCATTTCACAGAATGTGATCCCCATTTAAACCCGGCAGTCCAAAAAAGCATTGACGGTTAAAGATTTTTTTTTTTTACATGGAGCTTGAGAGAAAAAGGCGAACCTTACCCTTAAGCATCAAAAAAAATTTTTTTTTTCCCCAAAACGATAACAAAGCCTTTCAAGCATGAAAAAGTGGCCTCCTCCCGTTATTCATCAGTAAGGGGGCGAAGAAATGGGAGCGGAGGAAATGGGAAAGAGGGACGAGACGGAAAGGGTAAAAAACAACCGAGATAGTGTGAGAAATGGAAAAAGAACATGAAATGGGAAAAGTATAAGTGAATTAATCGGAGGAAAGAGGCCTAACTTCAGTCATATAACGACTGAGTAATGGAGGCGCTCAAGTTCAATGGAGGATAGATCCACTTCCAGAATCAAGACCCCTCATCAGCACAAGGTATCCCCCCACCCTTGAGTCCATGACCACCGTCCCCCCCCCCCCCCCCCTGTAGCCAGCTACTGCACTGCAAATAATGAAACCTCTTTAATAAAAATGTTATCGGTAGTTGAATATCGAAAGTTAGTTTACTTGTCCAACGTCTTCGACGACCGAACAGTTTTTTCAGTTAAATCCTTAAGACAATCTGTTCTTGTGTTCTATAGGCGGTATAAAAGACGTTCAACCCACATTTGGTGTTGCACCTCTTTCCTCAGAGTTCATGTTTACTCGAATTACTGAATTGCTTTTTTCCTTCTGATATTCAAATGAGTTCATCAGATTATTTAGTACCTAAAGGTCTGAACGAGATTTCGCTATCTCTATTACTTAAGAAAAACAGGTGAGAATAATTAGTGTTAATAAGTGAGACTAAATCGAAGAAGGAAAACACAGGAGATGTGGAGATTATAAAAGTTGAAGAATGCAGAGGAAAGAAAATCAGTAACAAGTCGAAATAGCAGGAGGGAAAGGATGATGGGAGAGAAAATGAAGATGCGTAGAGATTATGGTATAGACAAAAATAGAGTATATCAAAGGAAGCGCTAAAGCCCGTAGGGTATCATCCAGCAATTGGGGAATGGAGATAATTAGTTCGAGCAAAGAAGGAGGAGAGATCATTCTTTATATCAGACCTCTAATTTGACGGCACCAGACCCTATACATTATTCACGCTGCATGCGAGGGATAGAGGAAGAGCATTGAGAAGAAATGGGGAATTATTATAATCAAGGGAAAGCGCTTAAACCTTAGATTATACAGAGCCTGTCGGGGATGTGGAAACGTATCAGGAACTGAGAACAGGTCCAAATTCCCTAGATCTTTAGAGCCCCCACCAGCATCCAGGAACCTCCCTTGAGGGGAAAAGGGGAAACATGATAAAGGAAGAAATGAGATTATTATTAAATCAAGGGGGAAGCGCTAACCGGAGGTATTAACAGCGCCTGGTGTTGGGTAGAGTGGAAGTGCATTCAGGCTTAATTTCGGGAACTGAGCACAGATCCAATTCCCTAAATCAAGAGCCCCTCACCAACATCAAGGAACCTTCCTTAGGGGAAAAATGAGAGCAACTGTGAAAAGACGAGAAATAAATGGAGGAAAATGGAAGACGAAGAATGTAATAAAAATGGAAGTGAAAATAATATTACTAAACGAGAAAAATTGATGAGGGAGAAATGAGAGTAACGAAATAGAAAAGCGAGAAATTAAAATAAGAGAAAGGAGGAATAAAAGAGGGGAGGATGAATCACATTTTGAGAGAAAATAAGAAAATGTCATGGAAGGAATAATGGGAGGGGAGAGGCAAAGTGTTTGTCACAATGGCAAAACTTAAGAAATAAAAGATGACTTAGGAAAAAAAATGGAAGGAGACAAAAGGTATGTTTCATAATGCTTGCTATAAAATTTTTACACACATAACTGCTAATTGCTATCAACGATTAATAAGTTAACGCAGTATTACCTCGCTAGCCACCACTACACGAAGGTCAAGAGCAGACCTGACAGCAGACATCGTCCTGGCCACATCACTATGAGATGCCAGCAGGACCAGCAACAACTTACAAGTACTTACATCACAGCCAATTACTCTAATCCCTTAAATACATTAACAGCTCATACTTAAATTTATGATCTATAACCATGATAATTTAACTTGGCAGTCATTTTAACATAGGTATTAATTTTTGATAATGTAGGGCAGTAGACTGTTTTCATCTCAGGGCTGCCAACATTAATTGAATGCAGTGGTGCATATTACCTTAACAATGTTTTTTTCGGTGACTGAGATCAGGGAAATAAAACCGTATTCTTTTAGTTCATCCCCCACTACCTCAGTGAAGCAAAATAATAATGCCGGCGATGTATGCATGTACACTTACAATAGTATGACATATAAGCATACGTACCGCCTAATTGTACTCGCAGGGACGCGTCCATACATATATACCATAGTATCATTATATATACACAAGTTTAGACGTCACTAAACAGCAAAAATCACAAACCCTCCTTTAGGCAAGCACCAGAATGTGTATGTACATTTGTTCATATTTTATGCATGTGCGATATATGTCAAACGGTATTAAGGAGTTCTGTCACAATTAAGGGAAACAAAGTCTACGTCAAGACATGGTAGTATAATATGTACTGAGTTCACTGTGCTTCTTTAAATTTGTACGATATGAATGTAAGTTTCTTCGCCACATACCCTTATCTCCGTTGACTTTTGGAAACACAGACCCATAATATCATTTTAATGAAACCAGACAGACATACGTGTAATCTTTGAGTTTTCATCAACAACAAAAAAAAATACAATCACTGATTGTGTGGTTAGTTTTTTTATGGGTATTTCCTATGATATTTTTGTAGATACAACAGACATACCCCAACTCCAAAAAGGGGGCAGTAAAGCAACGGCAAAGAACTACAGACCGATAGCACTAACATCCCATATCCATAAAATGCTTTAAAGGGTCCTAAGAAGGCAGATCACCACCCTCTAGAAACCCATCAGTTTTCACCAACCCAGGGCAACTTGGGTTTTAAATCATCCTCCTGTCAGTCTCAACATTGGATCACTACGACAAGGTCCTAAATGCACTAGAAAACAAAAAAATCAGATGTAATATATACAATTTTGCCAAAAGAGCCTTCGACAAGTGTACTCATGGCGTAATGCGCACAAAATGCGTGCTAAAGGAATAACAGGAGAAAAGTCGGTCCGATTGATCAAATAATTTCCTCACAAACAAACACAGAGAGTAGTCGTCAACCCAGATAAAGTCCGAGCAGCTACGGGTGAAAAGCTCTGTTCCGGGGCCGAGAGTGGTGCACAGTACTCGCTCCCATCATTTTCCTCATCCTCATACCGACATAGACTAGGATGTCAGCCACAGCACCCTGTCTTGCTTTGCAGATGAACACCACGTAACCAGCATGACAGTTGTCTCCATTGCTGACACTGCAAGGCTCCAGGCGAACATCAACCAAAATCTTTCAGTGGGCTGCAGAAAACAATATAAGTTCAACGATGAGAAATTTCAATTACTCAGATATGGTAAACACGAGGAAATTAAATCTTCATCAAGTAAACAAAACAATTTCTGCCACAAAATAGAGTCGAAACACCAACGTCAAAGACCTGGATGATAATGTCCGGAGAGATCTCACCTTCACGGACCATAACATTGGATCAATCGCATTGCTAGAAAATTGACAGGATGAAAAAATGAGAACCTTCAAAACTAGGGATGCCAAGCCCATGATGACCTCCACAGGTCACTTGTTCATCTAGGCTGGAATATTGCTGCACACTAACAGCACCTTTCCAAGGCAGGTGAAATGCTACCTTGAAAATGTACAGAGAAACCTTCACGCGCGCATAACTGAGATACAACACCTCATTACTTGGAGCCTTGAGTTCCTAAAACTGTATTCCCTGGGAAACGCAGGCGGGAGAGATACTGTGATTACATACACCTGGTAAAATCCCTAAGGGACTAGTAACCGAACGAGCACACGAAAATCACTCAGGTTGTGGTCACTAACACGTTAAGAAAAAGACGCATACAATACGGTCAGGCCTGAGACTGTTCCAACTTCCACCCACATACATATGGGGGATACCAACAGACCCCTGGCAGTCTCAAGCTGGCACTAGACAACACGCTAAAAAGTCGATTCCTGACCAGCCAGGCGTGGCTCTTACGTTGGTGTTTTGCGTGCACCAGCAGCATACAGCCTGTTACAGCACTGATCCAAAGGAGGCCTGGGGTCACAGACCGGGCCACGGGCATTGACCTCCGGAACGTGGGCGACGAGCGCAGGTAAACATCATCCTGTAATTCTACAAATGGAATGGTCCATCTAATAACAGCAACCCACAATGGAAGCTTTGTCATGTTTCCAGCAAATAATAAACAAGGATCTCTGTCAAAGAGGCAATCCAAAAAAACCTCGTCTTCCACTGGAATTTTACCTGGAAGAGTTCGGGGTTCAACCCCCCCGCGGCCGGTCCGTGACCAGCCTCCCGGTGGATTCAGAGCCGATCAACCAGGCTGTTGCTGCTGCTGCACGCAAACCAACGTACGAGCCACAGCCCGCTGATCCGGAAACTGAAACCCCCCCTTTTAGGTTGCTTGTCCAGTGCCACTTAAGACTGCCAGGGGTCCCTGGTTTTAATCCCCCATATGTGTGCTGGGAGGCAGTTGAACAGTCTCGGCCCTGACACATATTGTATGTATCGTAAACGTTGCTGATGACAACCCCCTTTTCATTGGTGGATTGTGCATCCTCTTGCCAAGTCCTTTTGCGCGTTTCGTAGTGAGGATCTCATGTCAAGTTCGGTACTAGTCCCTCTTAGATTTTTCCAGTGATATAATCATGTTTCTCCCCGCCAGCTTCCATTTGAATATGAGGTTAGGACCTAAGCGCGCCCAATAATTGAGGTGTTTTATCTTCTCCGTTATGCGCGCCGTGAAAGTTCTCTGTACATTTTCTAGTCGGCAATTTCACCTGCCTGAACAGGGAGCTGTTTAGATGGGCAGCACTTATTCCAGCCTAAATAGAACAATTACCTAATAGTGTCATCAATGGGCAATTGCCTCCCTAGTTATGAAGGTTCTCATATCCATCTGTCAATTTTTCTAGCAGATGCGATTGATACAATTTATGGTCCGTGAGTAGTGGTGTGGGATGGAGATCCTCCGACATGATCACTCCCAGGTCTTGACGTTGGTGGTTTCGCTCTAATTTTGTGGCCAGAATTGTTTGTACTCTGATGAAGATTTAATTTCCACCATGTTTACCTATCTGAGTAACAGAAAATTATTTTTTTTTTTTTTCTCATCGTTGAAACTTCATATTGTTTCTGCAGCCCCTGAAAGATTTGGTTTGATGTCCGCCTGACTTTGCAGTGTCTGCAATGGAAGACACGTCATGCAGATTCCGGGGTGTCATCTGCAAAGGAAACACGGTGCAGTGGCTTGACATCCTTTCTAGTCGATATGAGGATAGGAACAAGATGGGAGCGATACTGTGCCTTGTTGAACAGAGCTTTTCACCGTACGACCCGGACTTTACTCTGTTGACGACACTCTATGTGTTCTGTTAGTGAGAAATTATAGACCATCGACCGACTTTTCCTGTTATCCTTTGAGCACCATTTTTGCGCTAGTACGCCATGGTCACACTTGTCCGAAGGCTTTTGCAAAGTCGTATATATTACATCTGCATTCTTTTTTGTCTTCTGTGCATTTAGGACCTTGGTCGTAGTGATTTCCCATAGTTGAGACAGACAAGAGCGACCTTTCTAAACCCATGTTGCCCTCTGGTTGTGTAACTGATGGGTTTCAGATGGGTGTGTGTCTTGCTTCTTAGGACCCTTTCAAAGATTTTATGATATGGGAGGTTAGTGCTATGTCTGTAGTTTCTTTGCTGTTTCTTTAACAGCCCCCTTGTGGAGTTGGGGCTATGTCTGTTTGTTTTAGTAACTGTGGAAGAAGGGGGGGCGACCCCCGTGTCCATTCTCCCTCGCCAAAGGATGGAAAGGCTCGGATAGGTGCCTTTCTTTTCAGTTTCGTGATGAACACAGATTCCATGAGTCTGGCCCTGGGGCAGAGTGCATGGCAAGTCATTTATCGCCTGCTGAACAACCTTTAAAATATAATTATTTCATTGTTGAAACTGTTTCTTTTTTTACCGCTCAATCGTTAATATGGTTTATTTATTTAGTCCATGAAATGAAAACATAACATCTAACACAAACAAAAAAATATAATATACGTACTAGGACGAATAAAAAGGGACACAAAATACCCAGTTGACCAGTTTTTGCTATTATGCCATATTATTCAATGCAATGAATTAGAACAATTCTGTAAATGGGGACAAAACTGAATTGCTAATCTATAGCATACGTTATTAAATATAATAGAATATTAATATCTATATCATAATAATATTAAATATAAAAGAATATTAACATAAAAGAATATTAAATATAAGAATAATAAATAGCTATAGCATAAAAATCAATTTAAAATATAAAAGTACAGGAAACAAACAGGAAAACAGGTATTTTCATTAACAGTAATGCAAAATATTAATTAATGAATACTTAAAAAAAATTGAACAGCAAATAGCTGCCTCCAAACTGATCCCTTGAGGACCAAAAATGTCGGTATAATTACTTACACAGTTTGCCCTGTTCATCTAGCACCAGTTGGCAACACCTGGTGTTAGCCACTGTGTGGGTTACATCCTAGGTAAATGACTTAAGGGTTACAATAGAAAATAAACCCAACCAGTCTATGTCACTGCATTATTGGATATAACTTAGTGTAATTATACATATTCAGAACAAGGTGACATCAGTTTAAAAATACCTAAAAAAAATGACCCTTGCAAATGAAAAACAAACAACTATTTTGTAGATAAAATGGTTTAGCCCTAAAAGTCTTCAGTATCTATAAGTGAAACTTTTTTAGAACATCGTGTGATGTCTCGACCTCAACTATGAACATTGGCATCAGTGTGGGATTAGGATCATTGTTATATACTACATGCTAATACACCACTACTAGGCCTTGTCTTGGGAGACAATCCCGGCACCCTAACCTTTTCAGGCAACTAGTCCATATACCCTAAATTTAAATTTAATACTACGTGGGCAAGCTGGAAAACAAATATTACCATAATAATAATACTTATAATAAAATCTGTTGTGTGATGTGTGTGCAAATTGAGGGTAATCTAATTAAGAGTGGTCAGCAAACTAAGGCAAAAAAAACCCCCCACATGGCCCAGACTGAGCCCTCAATCTGTATTTGCAACCCAAATAAGCAACAGCTACTGGGGAATGAACGATGCTGTTTTCTTCTTTGGGTCACCTGTCTTAGCAGAGATATAAAGAAAACCCATTTAATACAACAGCATTTCGAGCAGACTTAAACTAACATTACCACAATGCTATAAAAATACAATGGTTTATAAAGCAGTTTAAGCTGTTAAAGTATTTGACAGGAACCATACCACGGCGGGGAATATAACCTGCGATCAGAGAGTCTCTGATCGCCGGTTCTATCCCCGCCTTGTATGGTTTGTTTGCAATCGTTCATAATGTTTTCGTGAGTCCATATTTGACAGGAAAGAAACATGTGTAACACTGGTCACAACTCACAAGAAAAAAAATCATTGTTGTAAAATTATTATGTATGAATCAAAATTAATAGTGGAATGTGCAGGATAAAAATCATGATACACTTAACCTTGTCAAGAGAGAATAAAAGGCAACACTAATAATAATGATTGATTAAACTTATTAATAAATTTAAAATCAGGCTGGATTAAAGACAAAGAAACCTGGTGTATAACAAGATAAGCAGTAGAATGTAACGCTGTAACTTTAAAAAAAAAATAAAAAATTATAGTTGAAGAAATTCATTTTTGGGTTAATCCATAATTTCACGATTCAACTATGTATTTAAAGAAACAGAACATATTTATTTTAGGTTTGATTTTGAATTCCCAAGTACAGTATGTTACAATTTTTTTATTCATCAATACTTATTCTACAGTTTATCACTTCATTGGCATAGAATTTCTGAATTTGTTCAAACGAAACAAAAGACATAAAAAAAGTATTGTAGCCTATTTAACGGTATTTCTAGTGTGTAAGCTATGTTTAGTGTTACAAATTTCCAAGAAATATTTCAGGTCACCATCAGTCATCACAGTGTCAGTTCTAAAACTAAAGATGAACAGTATATGTAGAAACAGCCATTCACAATTACAGTGGTAGCTTAAAAACTTTAATGAATATTCTGATAACTCCCATTGAGTGGGTGATGACATCACTTTGAACATAAAAGATTGACTAAATCTGGTGCACACGCAAACTGGGTTTAAATTTATTCAGTGTAATCCCATGTTAATTTATATTTGAAATAAAGATGTGCTGTGACTAATGAATTGAAAGAAGTCTTGCCTGATAATATGAAAAACAGCATCAGACATCAAACATATAGGAATGAGATCTTGAATGGCAGTGGGCATATCATTGACCTGGACCTATAGAATGCTACCTTCAGGGACACTAAAATCATTGAGTACTAAAAAGAGTGCCATTATATGTGCTATAATACCTGTTTTGTTACTGATGTATGATTGAAAATATTTGTACTTAGTGGGTTAGAGGCAGTCTCAGCGATTATGGCTTGATATAGATACAACTATTATCTGTTTCTTATTGAGGGCTTCTGCTCTACGGAGATCTGTAGGCAATATGTGTAGTAGCGGAGGGTGCAGGGCATGCAAGTTTACATCATAACATTATTTAAAATGATTAAAAAGGTCTCAACGGTAAATATGTTTTATATAATACCAGCAATATTTCCTCTAACTGGAGTCTTAAAGCTTTGAAAACATAAAGAATTGCTTCGCAGTTCCTTTTTTTAGTAATACAATAAAACCATCCAAATATTAGACTGTTTCATAATGCGTAACAATTACAGTCACATTTCTGGATAACACACTGTATATACATTGTATCTTTTTTTTTATCTTACTGCCATTACTTAAAATCTAATATCTATTAACAAAAGGTGGCAATTTTTATGAACCTGCCGTAATATGTTACTTTTAGCATACTACACTTCAACTAAAAAAGTTCTCCCATATTTTTATTACTGACTGATAAGGAAATACTTACTTTATGGTATAAATGAAATAGCCTCAACCACTGTCCTAATTATATTGCAATTTTAATGGTCTAAGAGACATTAATTGTCAATTGTCAATAATTTTTAATTGACCTCTTGCCCGTTTACAGAGCAGCCTTACATAGAAGCTAGTAACTTTACTGCCATTTTACATGCTCATAAGGAGTAACCAAAGACATAAAACATTTTTAATAGTTCCTATTTCCACGCCTCGCATCAGAATATGAGTTTTTGAATTTGTTGCATGCTGTATATTTAACACCATAACCTCATTCTTCCCTTAAAATATTGTAACCTATACTGTACTAAATTTATCCATTTTACAGTTTTTATATCATCTATGAGCTTTGTAAACATTCCTCTATCCTCCAAAAAACTTAATGGCTCTTCTTAGTCTTTCATGAGTTAGGTGTTTTCCACCAGGAATGAAATTCATGAATGGCTGCAAGCAAGAATAATGAAACCATATTAATCATACCCTAGTTCCTCTACATTATCAACTAGTGCTCAAAAGAGATACCACTTTCAGTTCCATATAGCTGTGAGAACGTTAGTGAATATGAACCCGTATTCTTTTTAGCACCTCTTCTAAATGATGTATAAAACTTCAATATCACGCTCATAAAAAACATGGACATTATATCACGTCAACTGGGTTACTAATATAGCAAAACTGCCGCAGGCTATAACTATGGCATTACTTTCACACAGAAATAGAAGTTGGCCTGCCCAAAATCCCCGTTATAATTGTGTTAAGAAGCGGATACTTCAGTGGGTAACTAAAAATAGATTTAGTTGCGGTATAAAGCTTTAAAGGACTCCGAAGTTGGAGTAGCCTGACATAGCATCTTTCCTCCACAAGTTTTAAGGTTGGGAAAGGAAAATCTGTCAAGGAACATCTGTGTCGAGTGGTTTAGTAAAGAGCGAGCGCGAAGATTTTTTCTGTCTGCTTTGTGTCCAAAAAAAATATCCAGAGCATGTATAAAAGCGAATACCTGAGGTAGTGGCTCTTTAGTCTTAGCAAATGTACTGCCTCTTTTATAATCCACTGTTTTGTGATTCTCATCTTTCAATTAATCATCACGATGGTTGCACAGTCCTGGGAGGGCGGAGATTAAGCGAAGTAGCATCAGGAATCAGTCAAGACCATTCCACTCTTGAGGCAAATCTCTGATATTATGGTTCTATTATCTCATAGAAATTTTTACTCACGTTCTGCAAAGCCTCCATCCACATAAACTTCCTTCTTGCTTCAAGTTGATGGAGAAACTTGAACACTAGTTGAATTTCAGCTTCTCCAAACCGTTCACTTTTATACTCACTCTACATAGCAATATCACTTAAAAATCCTTCACATACAGTTTGGTAACACACATTGCCCGAGGAGAGGGATTAGTAAGCTAAGAGCAAAATTTTTGTAAGAAGCTTTCCAGCCACTGCTTAAGTTATTTCGTTTCCTTCACTGTTAAGAGTACCAATTCTGAGATATCCCTTTTAACCTCAGTGTTAAATGTCCAATGATAGTGCAAACACATCTGTATAAAGTTATAAAATAGCAGTATATCTACTATATTTTTAATAGCATCAGAACAAATTTTAAAAAGTTAAATAGAAATTTGTTAAAACCACAATGCTTTTTAGTTAATTATTGTTGTGAATTTAAAAATTCGGACCTTATTTTGTAAATAAAAGAACAGAAGTGATAAAAAAGAACGGGTATAGAACTAGTCCAAATAGACTAAATATAAACTGTGAACACTCAATTAGATGTGTGCCGTTCCCTGGACCTCGCCATGTACATTGCACCACTTCTGAAATCTTATGTTTTTTTTTATGCCTAATCCCTCATCTGTCATTTGATCTACCACTTTTACTTCCACCATCCATTATAAACACTAACCCTGTAACAGACTCTTTAAACGATAAAATCCTGTAAGACAAAATGGATTAAAAAAAAAAATTTTTACACCTAATAGGTTATTTCCTGTTCTAGACAGTCAAAAATGCTACTTACATTATAGATTATTTAACATTCCTTATATGTACAACACACAGTGGCAAAGGTGTCTATGATATACAAGGTGAACCACAAGATAGGCAAGGAAAAAGATTAGCGGTGAGTCTGTGGCATCTGAAGAGTACAATAATGGGAATGTACCACAGTACAGTAGGGCCCCCCGATTTATGAGGTTCGAGTTACGAATGTAGCACTGCGGCATTGGCACTTTGACCAATTAATAATCCTAGAATAAGTGACATACCTTCACAGTGGGGACTACTTACTGGCAGAAAAAACAAAAAAAAAAATTTGGCCAAAAATAAGCGAAACACCAACGTCAAGACCTGGGAGTGACAGTCGGGGGCTCCCTTAAAGGGACCATAAATTGTATCAATCGCATCGCAAGAAAAATGACAGGATGGATAATGAGAACCTTCAAAACTAGGGATGCCAAGCCCATGATGACACTCTTCAGGTCACTTGTTCTATCTAGGCTGGAATATTGCTGCACACTAACAGCACCTTTCAAGGCAGGTGAAATTGCTGACCTTGAAAATGTACAGAGAACCTTCACGGCGCGCATAACGGAGATAAAACACCTCAATTACGTGGAGCGCTTGAGGTTCCTAAAACTGTATTCCCTGGAACGCAGGCGGGAGAGATACATGATTATATACACCTGGAAAATCCTAGAGGGACTAGTACCGAACTTGCACACGAAAATCACTCAGGGGTGTCACTAGCACGTTAAGAGACCATACAATAAGTGTCAGGGGCCCGAGACTGTTCAACTGCCTCCCAGCATACATAAGGGGGATTACCAACAGACCCCTGGCAGTCTTCAAGCTGGCACTGGACAAACACCTAAAGTCGGTTCCTCACCAGCCAGGCTGTGGCTCGTACGTTGGTTTGCGTGCAGCCAGCAGCAACAGCCTGGTTGATCAGGCTCTGATCCAATAGGAGGCCTGGTCACAGACCGGGCCACGGGGGCGTTGACCCCCGCAACTCTCTCCAGGTAAACTCCAGGTAAACATCATCCTGTAATTCTACAAATGGTCATCTAATAACAGCAACCCACAATGGGAAGCTTTGTCAGGTTTCCAGCAAATAATGAGAACAAGGATCTCTGTCAAAGAGGCATCCAAAAAACTCGTCTTCACTGCTGACAACCTTTAAAATATAATTATTTCATTGTTGAAAGTGTTTTTTTTTTTACCGCTCAATCGTTAATATGGTTTATTTATTTGGTCCAGTGTAATGAAACATAACATCTAACACCAAACAAAAAAATATAATATACGTACTAGGACGAATTAAAAAGTGGACACAAAATACCCAGTTGAAAAGTTTTGCTATTTATGCCAAATTATTCAATGCAATGAATTAGAACAATTCATGTAAATGGGTACAAAACTGAATTGCACATCTATAGCATAAGTTTATTAAATATAATAGAATATTAAATACTATAGCATAAGAATATTAAATATAAAAGAATATTAAACATAAAAGAATATTAAATATAAGAATATTAAATACTATAGCATAAAAATATAATTAAATATAAAAGTACATGTAAACAGATACAGGTAAACAGGTATTTTCAGTTAAGCAGTAGATTGTAATATATTAATTAATGAATACTTTAAAAAAATTGAACAGCAAGATAGCTGCCTCACACTGATCCCTGGAGGACCAAAAATGTTCGGTATAATTACTTACACCAGTTGCCCCTGTTCATCTAGCACCAGTTGGCTAACACCTGGGTGTTAGCCAACTGGTGTGGGGTTACATCCTAGGTAAAGGACTAAAGGGTTCTCAATAGAAATAAACCCGACAGTCTGATGTCACTGCTTTATTGGTATATTACTTAGTGTAATATACATATGTCAGAAACAAGGGTGACATCAGTTTAAATAACTAAAAAAATTATGACCCTTGCAAATGATAAACAAACAACTATTTTGTTAGATAAAATGTTTAGCCCTAAAAGTCTTCAGTATTTATAAGTGAAACTTTTTAGAACATCGTGTGGATGTCTCGACCTCACTATGTACATTGCATCAGTGTTTAGGATCATTGTTATATACTACATGCCTAATACACCACTAACTAGGCCTTGCTTTTCATCCCTTCACCCTAACCTTTTCAGGCAACTAGTCCATATACTAATTTAAATTTAATACTACTGCTACTAATAATAATAATACCATACCTGGAGTTTACCTGGAGAGAGTTTCGGGGGTCAACGCCCCCGCGGCCCGGTCTGTGACCAGGCCTCCTGGTGGATCAGCGCCTGATCAACCAGGCTGTTGCTGCTGGCTGCACGCAAACCAACGTACGAGCCACAGCCCGGCTGATCAGGAACTGACTTTAGGTGCTTGTCCAGTGCCTGCTTGAAGACTGCCAGGGGTCTGTTGGTAATCCCCCTTATGTGTGCTGGGAGGCAGTTGAACAGTCTCGGGCCCCTGACACTTATTGTATGGTCTCTTAACGTGCTAGTGACACCCCTGCTTTTCATTGGGGGGATGGTGCATCGTCTGCCAAGTCTTTTGCTTTCCTAGTGAGTGATTTTCGTGTGCAAGTTCGGTACTAGTCCCTCTAGGATTTTCCAGGTGTATATAATCATGTATCTCTCCCTCCTGCGTTCCAGGGAATACAGGTTTAGAAACCTCAAGCGCTCCCAGTAATTGAGGTGTTTTATAATAATAATTATAATAAAATCTGTGGGGATGTTGCAATTGGAGGGTAATCTGAATTAAGATGTCAGCACACTTAAGGCAAAACAGCATGGCCAGGAGCTGAGCCTCAATCGTTGCAACCACAAATAAGCGAGTACAGCTACTGAATGAACGATGGCTGTTTTCTTCTTTGGGTCACCCTGTCTTAGCAGGAGATAGTCAAGAAACCCATTTATACACAGCATTTCGAGCAGACTTAAACTAACATTAACACAATGCTATAAAATACATGGTTATAAAGCAGTTTAAGCTGTTAAAGTATTGACAGGTAAACCATACCACGGGCGGGGATAGAACCAGCGATCAGAGAGTCTCTGATCGCCGGTTCTATCCCCGCCTGTGGTATGGTTTGTTTGCAATCGTGTCATTATGATTTCGTGAGTCATATTGACAGGTAAGAAACATGTGTAACACTGGTCACAACTCACAAGAAAAAAAATAATTTGTTGGTAATATTATTTATGTATGAATCAAAATTAATAGTGGAATGGGCAGGATAAAAATCATGATACACTGTAACCTGTTTCAAGAGAGGAATAAAAGGCAACACTAATAATAATGATGTGATTAAACTATAGTTAATAAATTTAAAATCAGGGGCAGGATTAAAGACAAAGGATACATGGTGTATTAACAAGATAGCAGTAGAATGTAACGCTGTAACTTTATAAAAAAAAAAAAATTATAGTCGAAGAAATTCATTTTGGTTAATTCCATAAATTTCACGATTCAACTATGTATTTAAAGAAACAGTACATATTTATTTTAGGTTTGATTTGAATTCCTCAAGTACAGTATGTTACAATTTTTTTATTCATCAGATACTTATTCTACATTTTAATCCTTCAATTGGCATAGAATTTCTGTAATTGTTCAAACTAACAAAAGACATAAAAAAAAGTATTGTAGCCTATTTAACGGTATTTCTAGTGTGTAAGCCTATGTTTTGTGTTACAAATTTCCAAGAAATATTTCAGGTCAGCATCAGCATTACAGTGCAGTTCTAAAACTATAGAGTGAACAGTAGTATGTATGAACAGCATTCACATTTACAGTGGTAGCTTAAAAACTTTAATGTGATGATTCTGATAACTGCCTTTGAGTGGGTGATGACATAACTTTGAACATAAAAGATTGGACTAAATCTGTGCACAAGCAAACTGTTAAATTATTCATTGTAATTCCCATGTATATTATATTGAAATAAAGATTGTGCTGTGACTGTAATGTATTGCAATAAGTCTTGGCCTGATAATATAAAAACTGCATCAACATCAAACAGTATAGGTTTGAGATCTTGAATGGCAGTGGGCATATCATTGATCTGGACCTAGAATGCTACCTTCAGGGACACTAAATTCATTGTGTACTAAAAAGAGGTGCCATTTATGGCTATATACTGTTGTTTGTTACTGAGGTATGATTGAAAATATTTGTACTGTATGTGGGTTTAGAGGCAGTCACAGCGATTTGGCTTGATATATGATACAACTATTATCTGTTTCCTTATTTTGTGCTTCTGCTCTACATCGTCAATTATGTTACTGCACTGCATGTTTTACATTAATACATTATTTAAAATGATGTAAAAGGTCTCAACGTAAATATTTTATATAATACCAGCAATATTTCCTCTAACTGGAGTCATAAAGCTTTGAAACATAAAGATTGCTTCTCAGTTCCTTTAGTATACAATATAACCATCCATAATATTAGACTGTTTCATAATGCTGTAAGCAATTACAGTCACATTTCTGGAGTAACTCAGCTGTATATACATTGTACTTTTTTTTTATCTTACTGCCAGTACTTAAAATCTAATATCTATTAACAAAAGGTGCTAGCAATTTTTATGAACCTGCCATGTAAATAGGTACTTTTAGCATACTACACTTCAAACTATAAAAAAGTTCTCCATATGTTTGATTACTGACTGATAAGGATATATTACTTTATGGTATAAATGAAATTGCCTCAACCACTGTCTATTTATATTGCAATTTAATGTCTAAGAGACATTAATTGTCAATTGGTCATAAGTTTAATTGACCTCTTGCCCGTTTCAGAGCAGGCCTTACATAGAAGCTAGTAAGCTTTACCTGCCATTTTACATGCTCATAAGGAGAACCTAAAGACATAAAACATTTTATAGGTTTCTATTCACGCTCGCATCAGAATATTAGTTTTTGAATTTGTTGCATGCTGTATGATTTAACTACCATATCCTCATTCTTCCATTTAAAATATTGTACCTATACTGTACTAAATTTATCCATGTTTACAGTTTATATCATCTATGAGCTTTGTAAACATTCCTCTATCCTCCAAAAACTTAATGGCTCTTCTTAGTCTTTCATGAGTTAGGTTTCCACCAGGAAGGAAATCATGAATGCTGCATGCAAGAATAATGAAACCACATACCCAGAGTTCCTCTACATTATCAACTAGTTGCTCAAAAGTGATACCAGCTTCAGTTCCATTAGCTTTGAGAACGTTAGTGAATATGAACCAGTATTCTTTTAGCACCTCTTCTAAATGATTGTCTAAAACTTCAATATCACTGCTCATAAAAAACATGGACATTATATCACCAACTGGGTTACCAATATTGCAAAACTGCCAATCTATAACTATGGCATTACTTTCATCATCAGAAAATAGAAGTTGGCCTGCCCAAAAATCCCCGTGAATAATTGTGTTAAGAAGCGGATACTTCAGTGGGTAACTATAAATAGATTTGGTTGCGGGTATTAAAGCTTTAAAGGACTCTGAAGTTGGAGTACCTTCATACATCTCCACAAGTGTTTTAAGGTTGGGAATGAAAAACTGGTCAAGAACATCTGTGTCGAGTGGTTTAGTAATTTCTCCAAGATTTTTTCTGTCTGCATTGTGTGCCAAAAAAATGTATCCAGTGGCATGTATAAAAGCAATAGCCTTGAGTGCTGCTTTAGTCTGAGCAAATGTACTGCCCTCTTTTATAATCACTGTTTTGTGATTTTCAGCTTTCAAATTATTCATCACGATGGTTGCACAGTCCTGTGCATAGGTAGCGAAGTAGCATTCAGGAATTGGCAAGACCATTCCACTCTTGAGGCAAATCCTCTGATATTCTGGGTTTCTAGTTATCTCATAGAATTTTACTTCACGTTCTGCAAAGCCTCCATCCAACATAAACTTCCTTCTTGCTTCAAGTTGAGGGAGAAACTTGAACACTAGTTGAATTTCTGCTTCTTCCAAACATTCACTTTTATACCTCACTCTTACATAGGCAATATCACTTAAAAATCCTTCACATACAGTTGGTAACACACATTGCCATGAGAGAGGAGTAACTGAAGAGCAAAATTTTTGTGAGAGAAGCTTTCCCAGCCACTGCTTAGTTATTTCCTTCTCACTGTTAAGAGGTACCAATTCTGAGATATCCATTTTACCTCAGTGTTTATAATGTCCAATGATAGTGCAAACACAGTCTGTAATAAATTATAAAATATGCAGTATATCACTATAAATATTATAGCATCAGAAGCAAATTTTAAAAAGTGTAAATAGAAATTTTTTAAAACCACAATGCATTTTTAGTTAATTATTTTGTGAAATTTAAAATTCTGACCTTTATTTTGGTAAATAAAAGAACAGAAGTGATAAAAAATAAAGGGTATAATCTCTAGCCAAATAGGACTATCATATATAACTGTGAAACACTCAATTATTATGTGTGTATGCCTGGACCTCGCCATGTACATTGCACCACTTCTGATAATCTTATATATGCCTAATCCCTCATCTGTCATTTGATCTCCCAGCTTTTACTTTCCACCATCCATTATAAACAGCTAACCCTGTACACTTCTTTTAAAGCTGATAAAATCCTGTAAGACAAAATGGATTATAAAAAAATTTTTACACCTATTAGGTATTTCTGTTCTAGACAGTCAAAAATGCTACTTACATTATAGATTATTTAACAGTCTGTATATGTACAACACACAGTGGCAAAGGTGTCTATGAAATACAAGGTGAACCACAAGATAGGCAAGGAAAAAAGTTAGGCGTGTGCTGTGGCATCTGAAGAGGTAAAATAATGGGAATGTACCACAGTACAGTAGGGCCCCGATTTATGAGGTTCCGAGTTACGAAGTTTAGCACTTGCGGCATTGGCACTTTGGACCTAATTAATATCCTATGAATAAGTGACATACCTTCGACAGTGGGGACTACTTAAGCTGGCAGAAAAACATTTGCAGAAGGTGGTGCTTTGGCTGGTGGTTAGAAGTAAACATTCTGCTCATGCTGTGTACTCTCACCTCCATGTGTTTGCTGTATTTTTTGAGAATTTCTCTTAGAAAACAGCAGTACATCATGACTGAACAGTGAAAGAGTAATGGTAGTGATACCCAGGTACCATGGAAAAGGAAATCTATGCCCTCTGAATTTATGTACAGTATAGGCAGTTAAAAAAATGCATGTTGAAGGTAAAGGTTGGGTAAAAATTCTTTTGGGAATTAAAAGAAAAATTAGGACTCTGGAAGGCACTAACCCCATTTTGCATTTTTTGTTATGGGAAAATGTGTTCTGAGTACTGTACTGAACAATCAACTTAACACTTAATTTTCAAGAAAACATTATTGTAAGTTGAGGCACTTGGATATACTGTACAAATACAGTGGACCCCCAGTTAACGATATTTTTTCACTCCAGAAGTATGTTCAGGTGCTAGTACTGAACGAATTTGTTCCCATAAGGAATATTGTGAAGTAGATTAGTCCATTTCAGACCCCCAAACATACACGTACAAACGCACTTACATAAATACACTTACATAATTGGTCGCATTCGGAGGTGATCGTTATGCGGGGGTCCACTGTACTCTTATATGGGTCTGTGGCATGAGTTTCAAAAATTACAGTGAGGAGGAGGCTAGAGGCAGTGACAATGCCATGTTTGAGAGCAATGAGTGGTGTGAATACTGTGCAAAGAATTTGGAATGCGAAGCTTGAGCATTTATAGAGGATGGAGCAAAAGAGGACAACAATGAGGATGTACGTATATAACCCCTTCCCTCTACAACCCTTCCTGGGTTGTCCCAGGAAGGGCTGAAGAGAAGGGGTAAAGCAGGTTTTGAGTGCTCGGAGCTTAAACATTCAACAGGCATGTGTGAGTATGTTAGATTGGATTAAGAGGAGGTAAGTAGTTTTTATGAAGGGATTCTGGGAAACTGGTTAGCTAGACTTGATTCCTGGAGGCAGAAAATACAGTGCCTATGAATCAATTAACAAAAATATTTAATACTATTCATGCCACAACTTATCAAAATAACCTTAAATGTTATTTGCCTACCCTAGCAATTTTTTTCATGACATGCCATTGGGCAGTATCTGGATGGGTAAGGCCAGTAACTAAACTTTTCCCTTGAATAATACATATATCAACTTTACCTCTCAAGCTCTTCTCTACTGAATCAATGTGGTATTGAATAACTATTGTATCTGAAACCATTTATGCAACAAAAATCAGTAAGCAGAACTAGCTATGATTTTAGAAGTACAGATCCTAATATTACTAAACCTACAAAGCCTTCATTCAAAATCTTCTGACCTTGACTTATGACAGTAGAATAAATATTTAGAAGGCTGAAACAAATCTCAGAGACAAAAAATATACTCTATTATCTAGTTTGTGGTATGTGACTTTTATATGACAAACTGTAAGAACTCCTATGCTGCTATCAGTACCAGTTTATTGCTATCATAAGTTCCTACTACAAGTATAAGATAAACTTTACTTAGAAAATCTACAAATTATTGTCAGGAAAATATTACCATATAAATTATTACAATGGTCTGAATACTGCACATAAATTTTATAGGCAAACATTAAAGACAAATTATGTATTTATATCCAAGGATAGCCCAGCCAAATTAAACAAGTGTGACATACATACTACCAAAACCAGATTGCTACTAATGTGAGCAATTTGTTTTCATATTACAAAAAGCATTTTTTACAATGTAGAGAATTAAAACAATTCAAAGCCCATGAGTCACATTCTACAATCAATATCCATAATTTGCTCATATACATAGACCAGCAGTCATATTACAGAAACCACCAATATGTAAACAAAAAAAATCCCACTTGAGGTGTGAGATAATTAAGTTTTACCTAAGAAAATGAGAGAATAAATTTGCTCAAGAGCCCTTCACTAATTCAAGGTAACCCTCCCCCTTGAAGGACATGATATGATGAGACACTTTGCTTTGTGTGTAGAAAACAATGGAGCAATGTCTAGGCATGATAGTGGCTTTCTTTGTAATTAATATTTTACAGTATATAAACCACATATTGTAAGCTTTGCAAGGAAATAGACAATTTCATTTCATTTGCTTACTACAAAGCCATGAATTCATAGTATACCAACTTTGCCACTCTGTGGTTAAGTCAGAATCAGTAGGAGTACTAGTCAACAAGTAGATGACAAAGAGTAAGGAAAGAGCATAAGCCTTAATTACAAATGTTTCACTCAAAGAATGCTTTATCAAGCTGTCTTGTAGTGAATTATCATAATTAAGTTTTATGTTACTTCATTTGTCTGTCTTTAAAGTTGGTATAGCCATAGGCTTGCAATTGTAAGGATGCTGCATCAATATCCAGTACTTTGTACACCATTTGTTACTGTCATTAAAGAGTGAGAGCTCATTTGCTCAATAGGTTTTTTTGGTCATTGCCATGTTGAATAACATAATGACAAAAATTAAGAGATCATCCTGTTGCTCAATGGTCAAGGATAGCACTTCAGCCACTATCAGGCTGGTATTTTTGTTGACCAAGGATAGCACTTTGGTCCCCATTATACTGTAATGGATATGTGGGTAGACCAGGGCATGCAAGCCACGTGCAGCAACAGCTAGGTTGTTCAGACTTTCTCCAGGAGAGCCAACAGAAAACACTCAAACCAAGCCACTTTACTTTTGTCTATTCTGAATAGCTAAAAATTTAAACTGCAGTGCCTTTTACAAAGAATCTCAAGCAGTAACCATAAAGTATGGGTATTGGGTGTACATATAGTAAATTACAGTGCTGTTTTCACAATATGTGATGTGCTAAACCTGTGTGAGCCATTCAGCACAAGGAGTGGTGGAGGCTTGATCCTCCATCCACTAATCTTAAGACAGACATGCTACTCTTCCATCCAACCAAGTGGATAGTAGAGCTGTCAAAAACAATATAAGGCATCACTAATGACCATAGAGTACATGCTAATAAAAACAAATACATTACCATATAGGTAAATTAGCTATTATCATACACAGATATTTTCTAGGTTAAGTAATCATAATGTAGTATGTCAGTTATGGTTTTTAGCCAGATACCGCTATAGAAAATATTAATTATAAGTTAATTAAAAGTGAAATAAGTTACTCATGCTGTACCGTTGCATAATGCTTATATGACAGAATTATATTAAGAAGTATGTAAGTGTTAGGATTAGTTTGCCAGAAATGCTTTGCATAGATGGCATTCTTTTAAACATTAATTGTATCAGATTTTATTTGTATCATAACTAACCAAATGCAGTGTTACTGTAACTTCTGCCTATGTTTATGAGAAATAAAGCTTTTATTTTGTTAGAACAAAAATGATAACTTACTTGCATATATGACAGTAAGACTGATATACCTTAAGTTTGTTTAGGTACAATTTTGGATGATTATAAGTCTTACACAGGAACATATGTGAAAATTACTTAGAATAACCCACCCCCCCAAAATTGTCGAGTAACTTATTTTCATTGGGGTCCTTGAACAGTACTGTAAAAAAAATGGGAAACCATTAGCCACATAGCTTGACTTTACTAGCTTATTTTAAATTAAATTATACATAATTTACTACATAAACAATCGTAAACGTTAAAAAATTATGTTATGTACAAGACTTAAAAATAAAAACAGACTTGCTTACTAAAATCAGTCAAATTAATAACAGTACTAAACTTGCAAGTATTACCTGTTATATAATCCTTAAACTCCAGCTTTGACATTTACCTGACGAATCAGCTGATCAGTGGCAGTAGTGGGAGGCAGTGTATATGTGGCGTCAGTGGCTCACTCAATTACTTATCAGTGATAAACAAAAAAAGATCTTGCTTCATGTGGTGACGCGTGGTAATACCTCACTGGAGCCACGTTAACCAGTCTATATTCTCTTTTATTTTTCATGACGATGTTGCCACCATTTACAGTAAATATAAGTGTTGTATGCCATACAAAATAGTATTACCTACATAATATTAATTCCAGGTTTGCTGAAAGTCAACCCAGGTGAAAATCCATAATGTTGAAAATAATGATGACGTTGCAAATAATCTTGATTTCCCTCTTAATGATAAGAAGCACATTTCGAAGTAAACACTTTGCTGTGTAAATATATATATATATATATATATATATATATATATATATATATATATATATATATATATATATATATATATATATATATATATATATATATATTATATATATATATATATATATATATATATATATATATATATATATATATATATATATATATATATATATATATATATATATATATATATATATAATTTTTTTATTAACACACTGGCCGATTCCCACCAAGGCAGGGTGGCCCGAAAAAAGAAAAACTTTCACCATCATTCACTCCATCACTGTCTTGCCAGAAGCATAATGTGAAGCATAATGTGAGTGTAGCATGCAGTTGAAAAAAGTGCAACAAAGGAAGTATGAAAATTTTCGTACCTGCCCGAGAAGTGACATAGTACAATTTCAGTAAAATAAATATTTATAAAAAAATTCTATTGCATATATGAATTCTGTAGTGGTCTGGATCTACACAGAAGGTTTTTATTGACTTTCCAGATCAATGAGAAATTGTTTTATATGGAGCCCTCCAGCACCAGGTCGAAATATGTCTGCATGTTTTCCTTATCACATTTAAACTGTTGAATGATGGGTGACACGAGGCAAGACTTCGCTTGGGTAGTGGAGGAAAGGTGGGAATGTTTATTAAGAAGGTTAAAAGGAATCCCTCAAGGGAAGTAAGTGCCTTGATGCTGGTAAGGGACCTTGATCCAAGGAATTGAACCTGTCCTCCCCTTCCTTGGATCGAGTCTGAATGTCTCCCATTCCCCAGGAGTTGCATGACCCCTGTGAATTAATGTACTGCTACTAATAATAATAATAATAAAGGAGAAGGCAAAGGAATGTAGTGTATTTAATGACATTAATAATAATATTAAAATGGGCCAAAAATAAGTAAAGATAAAACAAAAAAATATAAACAGTATAAACATGAAAATTCAAGGAAAACAACACCAAAATTTAATATACCGTTTGCTTTTCCTGGAGGGATTTGTCAGTCATCAGAGAAGTGGGTAATGGAAGCCGAGAGAACTAGTCACTGAACATACATGGTTCTAGCTAGATAACTGGTGCAAGCTCATAAAGACGAAGAAAAAATATACCGTAAGATGTGCACAGTTTATTTTAGAATGTGAGGGCTGTAAAAACATCTGGGCCCATTCATCGCTACAAGAAAAGCTATGAACGTGGGAAGTACGGACGTAAAATACTGTATATATTAATATTTAAAGAAACAAACGGTGAAAGGAAAGTAAATTTAAGGCTGAGCAAAGAACACATTACTAAAATTTGGCAAACGTATGGTTACTGAGATGAGATGATGAGGGAATATGTAAGACTAGAGCTGTATCAGCTCATGATATATTTAGTGTTGAGTTCCATACTGGTGACTGTGGAGACATCACTACCTTCTTCAAGAACTAACTACCTCTACAACCTCCACCTAACACAGCCAACTATCCATGCCAATGATGTTGGGAGGAATAAGAAAAGAGCGTTTGTTAATGACAACGAAATTGACCAAATACCTGAGAATGAAGATATGAAGCACACTGGGTTCTTGGATAAGAAAGTACCAGGAAGTCTTCCTTTATCGAGTGTGGGTATTTCAAGGGAGGGTAGTCTGAATGACATTCAGCACTCACTCAAACGTTCGAGTTTTTATGGACTTAACGATGGTCTTCAGAAAGTGAACGAAAGCCCCAGATTACCAAGAGAGAGTACAATTCAACTGCTGCGTCTTCTAACACAGCCTTCCACCACTTGTAGAAGGCTTGTGAGAGTAGGGGGTCGTTCCTGCCTTGGAGCCTTCGATGGATCAAAGGTGGGTACAGTTAAGGAATATTTTGTCAAGATAGTACGTATTTCTCCTGAGGTGGATATCATGATGATCTGCTTAGTTACCCAGTGTAACCAATTAAAAAAAAGTTCCCCCCCGTCTCTCTCTCTACATTATATATATATATATATATATATATATATATATATATATATATATAATATATATATATATATATATATATATATATATATATATATACATACATACATATATGTATGTATCCTAGGTAGTAGGTTGGTAGACAGCAACCACCCAGGGAGATACTACTGCCCTGCCAAGTGAGTGCAAAACGAAAGCCTGTAATTGTTTTACAAGATGGTAGGATTGCTGGTGTCCATTTTTTGTCTCATAAACATGCAAGGTTTCAGGTACGTCTTGCTACTTCTACTTACACTTAGGTCACACTACACATACATGTACAAGCATATATATATACACACCCCTCTGGGTTTTCTTCTATTTTCTTACTAGTTCTTGTTCTTGTTATTTCCTCTTATCTCCATGGGGAAGTGGGACAGAATTCTTCCTCCGTAAGCTATGCGTGTTGTAAGAGGCGACTAAAATGCCAGGAGCAAGGGGCTAGTAACCCTTTCTCCTGTATAAATTACTAAATTTAAAAAGAGAAACTTTTGTTTTTTCTTTTTGGGCCACCCCGCCTTGGTGGGATACGGCCGGTTTGTTGGAAAAGAAAAAAAAATATGTATGTATGTATGTATGTGTACTCACTTGTGGTTGCAGGGGTCGAGTCTTAGCTCCTGGCCCCGCCTCTTCACTGGTTGCTACTGGGTCCTCTCTCTCCCTGCTCCATGAGCTTTATCAAACCTCGTCTTAAAACTATGTATGGTTCCCGCCTCCACTACGTCACTTTCTAGGCTATTCCACTGCCTGACAACTCTATGACTGCAGAAATACTTTCTAACAACCCTTTGGTTCATCTGACTCTTCAACTTCGAATTGTGACCTCTTGTTTCTGTGTCCCCTCCCTGGAACATCCACCTTGTCTATTCTGCGCAGTATTTTATATGTCGTTATCATGTCTCCCCTGACCCTCCTGTCCTCCATTGTCGTCAGGCCGATTTCCCTTAACCTTTTTCATAGGACATTCCCCTTAGCTCTGGAACTAACCTTGTCGCAAACCTTTGCACTTTCTCTAATTTCCTGATGTACTTGATAAAGTGCGGGTTCAAAACAAGTGCTGCATACTCCAGTATGGGCCTGACGTACACGGTGTACAGTGTCTTGAACGATTCCTTACTAAGGTATCGCAACGCTGTTCTCAGGTTTGCCAGGTGCCCATATGCTGCAGCAGTTATCTGATTGATGTGTGCTTCCGGTGTTATACTCACCCCAAGATCTTTCTTCTTGAGCGAGGTTTGCAGTCTTTAGCCACCTAGCCTATACTCCGTCTGCAGTCTTCTGTGCCCTTCCCCGATCTTCATGACTTTGCATTTGGCGGGGTTAAATTCGAGAAGCCAGTTGCTGGACCAGGTGTCCAATCTGTCCAGGTGTCTTTGAAGTCCTGCCTGACCCTCATCTGATTTAATTCTCCTCATTAACTTCACATCATCTGCGAACAGGGATACTTCTGAGTCTAACCCTTCCATCATGTCATTCACATATATCAAAAATAGCACTCGTCCTAGGACCGACCCCTGTGGGACCCCGCTCGCCACAGGTGCCCACTGTGATACCTCATCATGTACCATGACTCGTTGTTGCCTCCCTGTCAGGTACTCTCTGATCCATTGCAGTGCCCTTCCTGTTATATGCGCCTGATCCTCTAGCTTCTGCACAAATCTCTTGTGAGGAACTGTGTCAAAGGCCTTCTTGCAGTCCAAGAAGATGCAATCAACCCACCCCTCTCTCTCGTGACTTACTACTGTTACTTTATCATAAAACTCCAAAAGGTTTGTGACACAGGATTTGCCTTCCATGAATCCTTGCTGGTTGGCGTTTATACTCTTGTTCCGTTCCAGGTTCTCCACCACTCTCCTCCTGATGATCTTCTCCATAACTTTGCATACTATACACGTCAGTGACACAGGTCTATAGTTTAGTGCATCTTTTTTGTCTCCTTTTTTAAAAATGGAAGCTACATTTGCCGTCTTCCATACCTCAGGTAGTTGCCCAGTTTCCAGGGATGTGCTGAAGATTGTGGTAAGTGGCACACACAGCATATCCGCTCCATCTCGAAGGACCCACGGGGAGATGTCCGGTCCCATTGCCTATGAGGTATCGATGTCCCTTAGCAGCTTGTTCACCTCCTCCTCATTTGTATGTATGTCATCCAACACTTATTGGCATATTCCTTGCTGGTGTCCCCCTCTGTTCTGTACCCACAGAGGCCTTCCTGCGTGTGTGTGTGTGCGCGTGCGTGCGTGCGTGTGTGTGCGTGTGTGCGTGTGCATGTGTGTGTGTGTGTGTGTGTGTGTGTGTGTGTGTGTGTGTGTGTGTGTGTGTGTGTGTGTGTGTGTGTGTGTGTGTGCGTGTGTATGTGTGTGTGTGTGTGTGTGTGTGTGTGTACTCACCTATTTGTACTCACCTGGAAATAAATGGTATAAAATACCGACACAATGGAAATATAAACACAAATGCAGTATAATGTGATCCTTTATTGACAACGTTTCACCCACACAGTGGGCTTTTTCAAGTCACACACGAATCTACCTGGGGTTGGAAGGTACGAGAGTATTTATAGACAGAATGTTGAAGTCAGGTGAAGAATGCTGCATCTGATGATCTACCGGGTGGGGTTATAGACTCTTGGGTAGCTTGGCAGGGGTGTTGGACAAGTTGTAGACCTTCTGCAGTGTTCTTATGTGGGATAGCGATGAAGAAGTTTCTTGGCGAGTGGTTCAGCTATGTTATAGAAGCCATTGTTCTGGTTGAAATTGTTGGTTATAGAGATAAACGATGATTCCAGGATTCTTCTGTATTGAGTGTTGTCTTCTGTGGCTATAAGTCTTGAGTTTTCTGTAGTTAATTAAATGGTTGTGTGAATTGCGATGTTGTACACAGGCATTCCTTGTATCGTCAGTCCTGCTTGCATATTGGTGTTCTGAAATACGGGTTTGGAGGTCTCTTGATGTTTCGCCCACATATAATTTGTTGCAGTCATTACAAGGGATTATGTATACCCCTGCAGAGGATGGAGGCTTGTCCTGTCTACTACTAGTGATGTCCTTGATGGTCGTGGTTGTGGAGGTAGATACTTGGAATGATGTTTTGGCAAAGATGTTGGAAACATGTTTGGCAATGGAGTTGGTGGGAAGGACTATGATCTCTTCTCGCAGTGTCTTCTCTGGGTGTGTTGAAGATGTTTAATGCTCGCCGTCTGCAGTCTCTGATGAAGTGACGAGGATAGTGGAGTTTGGAAAATACTTGTTCAATTATAGTGCATTCTTCCTCAAGGAACTCGTTGCTGCAGATTCTGAGTGCACGCAGGAAGAAGCCTATAATTCTCACCACGACACCAAAACCAAACGTGGTGTAATTATAGGCTTCTTCCTGCGTGCACTCAGAATCTGCAGCAACGAGTTCCTTGAGGAAGAATGCACTATAATTGAACAAGTATTTCCAAACTCCACTATCCTCGTCACTTCATCAGAGACTGCAGACGGCGAGCATTAAACATCTTCAACACACCCAGAGAAGACACTGCCGAGAAGAGATACATAGTCCTTCCCACCAACTCCATTGCCAAACATGTTTCCAACATCTTTGCCAAAACATCATTCCAAGTATCTACCTCCACAACCACGACCATCAAGGACATCACTAGTAGTAGACAGGACAAGCCTCCATCCTCTGCGGGGGTATACATAATCCCTTGTAATGACTGCAACAAATTATATGTGGGCGAAACATCAAGAGACCTCCAAACCCGTATTTCAGAACACCAATATGCAAGCAGGACTGACGATACAAGGAATGCCTGTGTACAACATCGCAATTCACACAACCATTTAATTAACTACAGAAACTCAAGACTTATAGCCACAGAAGACAACACTCAATACAGAAAAAATCCTGAATCATCGTTTATCTCTATAACCAACAATTTCAACCAGAACAATGGCTTCTATAACATAGCTGAACCACTCGCCAAGAAACTTCTTCATCGCTATCCCACATAAGAACACTGCAGAAGGTCTACAACTTGTCCAACACCCCTGCCAAGCTACCCAAGAGTCTATAACCCCACCCGGTAGATCATCAGATGCAGCATTCTTCACCTGACTTCAACATTCTGTCTATAAATACTCTCGTACCTTCCAACCCCAGGTAGATTCGTGTGTGACTTGAAAAAGCCCACTGTGTGGGTGAAACGTTGTCAATAAAGGATCACATTATACTGCATTTGTGTTTATATTTCCATTGTACTCACCTATTTGTGGTTGCAGGGGTCGAGTCCTAGCTCCTGGCCCCGCCTCTTCACCGGTTGCTACTAGGCCCTCTCTCTCCCCGCTCCATGAGCTTTATCAAACCTCGTCTTAAAACTGTGTATGGTTCCTGCCTCCACTACGTCATTTTCTAGGCTATTCCACTGCCTTACAACTCTATGACTGAAGAAATACTTCCTACTATCTCTCTGACTCATTTGTGTCTTCAACTTCCAATTGTGGCCTCTTGTTCTGTCTCCCCTCCCTGGAACATCCTGTCTTTGTCCACCTTGTCTTTTCCCACGCAGTATTTTATATGTCGTTATCATGTCTCCCCTGACCCTCCTGTCCTCCAGTGTCGTCAGGCCGATTTCCCTTAATCTTTCTTCATAGGACATTCCCCTTTTAGCTCTGGAACTAACCTTGTCGCAAACCTTTGTACTTTCTCTAGTTTCTTGACGTGCTTTATCAAGTGCGGGTTCCAAACAGGTGCTGCATACTCCAGTATGGGCCTGACATACACGGTGTACAGTGCCTTGAATGATTCCTTACTAAGGTATGGGAATGCTGTTCTCAGGTTTGCCAGGCGCCCATATGCTG